CGCCGCGGGGCCCGCCCGCCAGCCCCGGGCCCTTCGCCACCCGCTCGCCCCTCTTCATCTTCGTGCGGAGGTCGCCGCTGCTGTCGCGCTCCTCCAGCGGGTACTTTTCCTTCGACGCCGAGCGCAGCCCCGCGCCCCTCAGCTGCGACAAGGCCACGCAGACCCCCAGCCCGCCCTGCCAGGCCCTCAGCCACTGCCTCAGCGCCATGGGTAAGATGCCGGGGGGGGCGACGGGGTGAGCGGAGGGAGCGGGACCGGCCCCCGGGGGCTCCCCGCCGGCCTCCTCATCGGCACTGCCCTTCCCCTCCTCGCCCTGTTTGTTTTCCCTTCAAAAGATGTGGAACGCGGCGTTTTATAGCCGCGCACCTGCGGCGGCACCTCTTGCATCCCCCCATCTCTGGTGTTTTTTTGGGGGTGGGGGGGGGTGATGGAGCAGGCTGCTGCTGTGCCGGGGTGGCACCCTGCCCTGCCCGGGCACCCACCGGAGGCTGGTGAAGAGGCTGGAGCCCCCGCCGGGGCCAGCCGTGGGGTGTGTGTGTGGGGCTGGCCGGTGTGGGGCTGGCAGCGGGGCTGGATGCTCGCCCAGGCACTCAGGGTGTGGGATTTTTGCAAGCTGGCGGGGCCTGCCGAGCAAACACGCTGCTGGGGAACACCCGCCCGGGTGATGGAGCAGGCTGCTGCTGTGCCGGGGTGGCACCCTGCCCTGCCCGGGCACCCACCGGAGGCTGGTGAAGAGGCTGGAGCCCCCGCCGGGGCCAGCCGTGGGGGGTGTGTGTGGGGCTGGCCGGGGTTGGGCTGGCAGCGGGGCTGGATGCTCGCCCAGGCACTCAGGGTGTGGGATTTTTGCAAGCTGGCGGGGCCTGCCGAGCCGGCCGCCGTCTTTTTTTTTTTTTTTTTTTTTTTTTTAAATTATTACTACTTTTATTCTTTCCTGGGATGCATCAGCCCCTGCCTAGGGAGGAGGGGGCAGAGTTGTTCAGTCCGGCTTCCTAGTCTAGGGCTGGCTTCTGCAAGGCTTTATGTGCTGCTTTTCTCCGTGGGGTGTGTGGTGCTGCCAGGTAAGTGACTTCTTCCTGGCTTTTTTCCCTCCCGTTTCTTTCTCAGCCAGCCACGCGGTGTCATAGGTGCCGGGGTCACGGAACTCACGCTTGTTTTGGTGAAACCCGAAATTGGTGCTTGAAAGCAGCGTGGTGGCAGGCAGGCGTGTGTTTACATGTGGCTTACCTGGTGAGACTGGGTTGAAGCCTCTAGTGGTGGAGAAAACATGCCCGCTGGAGCTGCTCAAGCTATCCAGCCATGCCTTTCCCTTCCTGGGATTAATTCCCCTTAATTGGAGGAAACCTTTTAACTTCTGCTGGCCAAAACTGGGGAAGGTAGGAGCGAGACAGGTACCACATCGCTAGCACTCCTCGGGAGATAACAGACACCAATTCCAAGCTTTACATGATCAAGACTTCTTTTCTTTTATTTTTTTTTTTCCTTCTCTCTAGTTAATGGCTGTGGTTACAGCTGCAGAGGACTTACTGTAATATGCCCTTAGGAAAGATTTTCTGACATTATTGCAGTAATTACAGCTTAATGCAAATTTCACAACCTCGCAGAGCGCAAACACACATGGCACAGGCAGGCAGGGATGCTGGGCTTCCTCAGCAGGGAGAGCTGCAGCCAGTGTTTTAGCAGTGACTGACTGGTGTTTGGTTTTTTTTTTCTTTTGGTGGTCCAGGAAGAAATTGAAGTTTTCCCTGACTTTTCTGAGCTGCTGCTTTTTTCATTGCCAGAGGAAAGCTTTTAAAAATGCTGGTTTTACTGGAGCCTTTGTTCTGTTATTGTTGCTAGGGGCATCATCCTAAACAGCTATAAGCAAATGGAAAATACTCAAGCTGTGTAAATGGGACCCCTGGCTACTCTCAAGCGCGGTTGAGCTGGGAACACGAAGCTCTGTTTTATTCTCCAGTCAGGGGCTGCAGCTCCCAGGCTGTCACCTCTGCGGGGCTTGCCTTGATGAAGGTTTGCTCTGCACACCTCTTCCTCAGTCCCCTTGCCTTGGCAGTCTCCTGCCGGATGTGTGCCGTTAAGTTTTCCGCACGGAAACGGGTCAGTCCCTCTGCAAGGAAGCAAAGGGTATAATTTTTTTGTTTTGTTGGTTGTTGTTGTGTGTTTAGGTGCTGATTTTTATCTCTCGTAAGGCACTAACTGCGGGTGGCAGAGATGGAGGAGAGTTTCTCTAGTAAGCATAAGCATGTGGCCTTTAATAATAATAATAAACAGGCGTTTCCTGTAAGCAAGAGCAGTTTGTGTGCGATAGGTCCTCTCAGCTTCTCCTGTGGGCAGCACTGGACTGTTTCCAAGGCTGGTCGAGCAGAGCAAGCTCATGCTCTGCCCTCAAGCTGCCTCTTCTAAATCTTATAAAACCTTCCCCGAAGTTGTCAGGAATGATGGCCCAAATAATAATTAAGCCCTGAAAGTGCCTCTGCCAGACAAATAAAGGTGGAGGCAGCCCTGGGAAACTACAGGATGCCTGTGGGGGTGTGAGCTGGAGGGAGATTTGTTCTGGGCATAGGAGGTGGTGGGCAGTGATGCTTTGAGCTGTCTTGCTTCTTTGTCAGTGCAAGGAGGTACAGCCAGCCATCTCCAAAGCCATTTTTTGGGGGGGGGAAATGAGATGAAGGCAGCAAGGGGGTGTTCTTGGATGAGGAGTGGGAAAGGTTGCAGTGCTAGCTCAGTATATTTGTGGAGATTCTTTTGGGGATGAGTAGGAGAAGAGCAGGGATGAGTTTATTCAGATGTGCCAGGGAAGGTGTGGAGGAAAAAAGATGAACCTGCTTTTTGCAGAAGAGTATGGCAGGGGTGGTGGTTGCCCTTCTGGGAGTCCTCACCATGAGGTCACCCAAGGCAAGAAGCCCACCCTTCGGTGGGGTTATGTGAATTTTAGGCCGATACTTCAAGTCTTTGGCTCTTAGCAGGAGCTAAGAGTTGGGGTTTTTTTGTTCAAAGAGTAGCTCTGTCTAAAAGCACAGGAGTGCAGGTGGGTTTTGGGGATGTATTTGGAGCAGGCACATGCAAGTGCTCTGTAAATGTTTTTTCCCAGTGCTGTTCTGATTCTGGTGTGTTTTCCTGCACTGTAGAAGAGGGGACAGAAGTAGTGTGAACCTGTCATAGTGTGTGAAGGAGGTGCCCTGGGTGTAGTAGGTGAATTTAAGGGGAAACCTTGAGCTAAGGAGCTGGCAGTGTTGTTCCTGTTGTGCTCATTTCAGAGCTGCTGCCATTTTCTCTCTGAGCTTCGTGTGTAGTTCATCTGAAGCCATCCTCCAAGGAGATTTTCTGCAGGGGATTTGGATTACCGAGCCTGGGAGGCGGAGGTGCAGTTTGGGTTTTATGTTTTGTTTTTGGGGTTTTTTTGGGGGGGAGTGGTGTGTTTTGGTTTTTGGGTTTTTTTTACTTCTAAGCAGGGACTACTGCATCATCTTTTGGGTCTGAAGCATCCTGTGGGCTAGAGAGAGATGCAGGCATCCCGGGGGTGCCTTTCAGGTTGTCCTCATCCCCGTGGCAGCCGTCTTGCCGGCAGTGGTGGGTAGCAGCTTGTGGTACGAGTGGGGGCCCCCCCTGAAAGCACCTCTGACAGGTTTTGGGACCAGTTATGACTGGACCTTTTTGTCACCACTGTTCAGCAGCGCCACAGAAAGTCCTTTCTGAAAACCTCAGCCCAATTTCACTCTCAGCCACCAACCCCAGGCTTTGTGTCTCAAGTGGATGAGCTCTTGGGTTGGGTGCAGTGCTGGGGCAAAGGGAAAGGATGGAGAAGGAGCTGGACCTCTCCCCATGCAGTTTACTGTGCATCCCTGGATCTCTGCATGTTTTTGTCCTTTCTCTTTTTTTTTTTTTTTTATCCCACCCCCCCAGCTTGGCTCTTCCTGGGAAAGGCAGTCTGGGGCCAGCTCTGGTGACAGTGGTGGGATTTTGGATGGTCACCCCGCCCCATCTGAAATCCTGTTTGCGTTCCTGGAGCTCTGGGGTGGAGTATCGTGAGGGCTGTGCCGTGTTTCATTCAGCAGAGAGGAAAATAAATAAGCTGGGGCCATCCCTGGGCAGGCGGTGGGTACTACTGCGCTACTACAGCATGAAAACAAAACACATCCTTGAGCCAAGTAGTGCTAGTTTGGCTCAGAGCTGTATTTTCCAGTCAGGTTGGAGCCAGACTTTTATTTAAAATTTTTTTTTTTTTTTACTGCCCCACTAATCCTTTGAATATTTTGAGATTGGAAGCTATGTCTATTCCCTTGTGATTCCTTCTAAGCTGTCGTGCCAAAATTCACTGTTTTGTTTTGTGCAGTGAGTTTTTTTGGGTTGTATGGGGTTGTTTTGGTTTTTTTTTGTTTGGGTTGTTTGTTTTTTGGTTTTTTTTTTTTCCCCTTAATGGTCTGATTCTTGCTCAGATCCCGTGCTCGGGTTTGCAGGAGGGGAAAGAGGTGACCCAAGTACCACACAGGGTCCTGCCTGGGTCACAGGCTGCTCCTTTCTCCCCCAGCTATTTAGGGGATTGCATGGTGGCTTTATCACATGGCTAATGACTTCTTAAAATAGAGACTAAATTAGCTATCTGTAGTACAGTATAATTGGTGCTCTAGCTCTTTTTTTTTTTTTTTTTATTTCTTTCTTTTATAAGCTAGTACTGTTTTCTTGCATTGGGTTTATTTTCTGCTAAAGTGCAGGAAGATGCTGTTTGAGAGGTGAGCGTCCCGGTTCCCTCCTGCGGATGGAAAGTCCCTCAGTTTGCTGGAAGCACGGTTTCTCCTCATACAAATCCAATTGTGGCTTTCTTCTCAGTACGACAAAACCAATCATTTTCATTTTCTCGTTGAGCACTTCAGAACTGTTTGGGGAAGAAATGTGAGAATTCAATTAAACTATCCAGGCGGAGGTTTTTTTAAGGTTAGAGAAGAAGTTGATGATGTGCCTGCAAGAAAAGAAAATTATTTAGAAAGGCGGGGGGATAGAAGGTTTTGCTAGTGTGAGAAATTGTAGAGTGGCATCTCAGCATTCCTCCCTATTTAAGAAGGGACCATTGCTTGGATGTGCCAGAGTAGATGCTCCTAAGGGAAGCCTATAATTAAAAAATGAATTAGTAAAAGCCTAATAATAATAATGTAAAAAATAATAAGGAATAGAAGCCTCTCCTGTGATGCACATCTTACACAAGTCCTACTTGCACTGCATACCATGTGCAGGCCCTAGCAGCCTGGCACCTGCGCAGCTCCTAGGAACTGTATTTAAAAAACACTTAAATAGTAATAATAACAAAAAAATAGCACTAGTCCATTGACTGTTGCCAAGTTTAATAGAGTATTTTTGTTGTTGTTCCTGGGTTTCAACTGCTCCCCTTTTGTTCTGTTCAGCTTCCCGGTGGCAGTCTCACTCGTTAGCAGAAGATGTACAGCCTGAAATCTGGATTGCACAGGAGCTGCGGCGCATTGGAGACGAGTTCAATGCCTCCTATTGTCCAAGAAGGGTAACTTTCATCTTTTTACTTTCCATTTCTTTACACACGGTCTCTAAAAGGGAAAAGCTTAATCATCTCTGGAAACTAGTTCTGCGGTAAATGTTTCGTTCACTCAAATGTAGAAAAGGATGCGCGGGTGGTTGTGTTCTCCTGGACACAGGCGGATTGCGCTGCCTGCGCTGGCGAGTCAGCTGCTGCTGCAGCGTCATTACACCAATTAAAATAACCTTTCAACTGGGACTTGAGGTTTTCTGGTATGAATTCTGCAGTATCTTTCGTAGCGCTCAGGGCCCATAAAGCGTGTTGCTGGATTGGGACTGGACCTGACAGTAATGAGGAAGAAACCTCTAAAAATTGAGGCAGAGAAGGTTTGGGTGTGTTGGGGTTTTTTTGGGGTGGCATCAGGAAGAGTCCCTCTGGAAGTGGTGCCCAGCCAGGAGTTAGGGAGCGGTTGGTGTTTCTAGAAAAAATGAGCAGGGAGCAAAATGTAGTGGGTTTCTGTGCCCTGCTCCCAAATTCCTGCTGCCAAGGACTGTGTGTGCGTGGAAGTGTAGTTGCAGATAAGAAACAGGGAATGACTTGATCTGTAAACTCTCCTTTCTTATAAAAGAAATCTGCCAGAGGTGTTTTGAAACATGTATTTATAAGGCTGTAAACTTTCTCACCTTTGAGTGTTGCAACAAAAATAGGTGGCATTAATGCAAAAAAAATAAAAATAATTGCAAAACAAAACCAGCCCAGAGACATGAAGTAAGTGTTTTCAGAAGAGTATCATTAGCCATGAACTTGCTACTGGAAATGTTCTTGCTGGCTGCGTGTCTGTGCATGTGGCTTCTGATCCATCGATCCGCCCCTGTGCTTGTCTGTGGGAAGAGGAGTCAGAGGCACGTTGGGCAGCAGTGCTGGTGATGAAATGCTGACTGCCCGGATCTCTATCCCTGCTCCCTCGCTCGTGAGTCACTCCTGCAGCGTGTGTCCTCGCTGCTCCCGGGGGCTCTTTGGCAGATGCCTGGAGGCAGGGGCTCTCCCCCGAAACGCTTGCCAGGGTGCTGTGATCTGGCTCCTTCTGCACACCCTCTCTGCGCTGCCTTGGTGGTGACTTCTCCATTGCCTCTATTTTCTTTCCCAATGCTCTGCCTTTCCTGCCCCACAGCAAAGTGGAGATAAGCTGCGTTTTATCCTGAATCCAGAATGTGCACCTTCTGACTTTCCCCCCCATCCAGGCTGATCCCTTGTGATGCTTTTTTTGTCATATCCAGGCTGATCCCTTGTGATGCTTTTTTTTGTCGTTTAAAAAATCACAGAATCTTCTAGGTTGGAAGGGACCTTAAAGAGATCATCTTGTCCAACCGTCAACCTAACTGACAAAAATAGACACCCACACAACAAACAAGGAACATCATCACTAAACCAGACCTCCCAGCACTACATCAACCCGTCTTTTGAACACCTCCAGGGATGGGGCCTCAACCACCTCCCTGGGCAGCCCATTCCAATGCCTGAGAACCCTTTCGGTGAAAAAATTTTTCCCAATATCCAGCCTGAACCTCCCCTGGTGCAACTTGAGGCCATTTCCTCTCATCCTGTCGCCTGTGACTTGAGAGAAGAGACTGACCCCCACCTCTCTACACCCTCCTTTCAGGGAGTTGTAGAGAGCAATAAGGTCTAAGGACATCTTTTCAATGAATCTAAGCCAATCCTAGCGGTGTTCAGAAAGCTGAAGGCCCGTGGTAGTGGTGAACTGATCCAGAAGGGCTAGCAGCAGCACAAAGTGCTGTGCCATCTCTTCTCTCTCTTGGCTCTTATAGCGGTGCCTTAAATTTGCAGCGCAAGCAAGTCCTTGGAGTGCCTTCTGGGGACAAGTTTGTGATGAGCAGGAATGTCCTCCCCACACGATCTCGTGGGTGCTGCCCCAGGTGGGACTTTTCACGTTGGAAATCTGTGCCAGGCACATCACCCTGTCCCATACAAAACCACGATCCGTGCTGCCTGCTGGGCAGCATAAGAGGGCATGAATTTAAAATTCGGGGGGCTGAGGAGGGGCAGGAGAAGACCTCTTTTCCCCATGGACGCAGGAGGGTGAGTGTGAAGCTGGCAGCAGGACAGGGCGCAGGTGCCCAGTCACAGAGCATGGTGCAGGTTTGCACAAGGTGGTTCTCGGCACCACGGCTGAGCTTCCAGCTTTCTGCACAAGGGAAAGAACTGAAGCACAAGAGTTACCTTGTCCTGCTTGCTAGATGACACAAGCAGAGGCTGTCATGCATGACCCTAAAAACAATTTGTACCTGGCTTAATTAGCATCTGACGAATTTTCACTTTGTTGTGCCTAAAAATGTGGAGGTTTCAGAGCACTTAAGCAATTGGCATAGAATTATCGTCCCTGAGCCCTGCTTTGTAGAAAGGTGTCTTTTCCTTCTGCAGGTGGTCCAGCTGCCGTGGAGAAAAGGTGGTCTCTGCAGAGCTGGAGCCCTTTGGCAGGAGGGGTCGGCAGGAGGCCTTACTGGCACGCCTGGCTCTGCTGCTCGCTGGGGTTTGCCCTTTAAGCCTGAGGTTAGAAATGGGGAACTGAGAGCCCTGCCAAAACGCACTCGCTGGGCAGGTCGGAGCTGTCAAACGGGTCGGAGCCGCGTGTTCCCCATCACGTTCCCTGTCAGCGCGCCCCGCGCATCGCCCCCCTGGGGACCGTGTCTTGGGCAATAGGATGGGAAGGCAGACAACTTGCCATCCAGCACCTCTTTGCCCCAGTAAAGCTTGTGGGTCTGGCGAGTGGAGGTGGCCATGGGACCCCCCAGCCATGGAGGTGAGCTCCACGCTGAGGCTTTTGCCGGCAGAGGGTGCATCGCTTGGCCAACGTCGCATGCCCCAAGCTTTGCTGCCCACACCTGACCTGCCTGCAGAGGTGGAAAAAGTCTTGTTTCAACTCCCTAAGTTTATTTTCATGGCTTTAAGCTGGAGGGGAACAGATTTAGACTGGAGATTAGGAGGGGGTTCTTCACTGTGAGGGTGGTGGAGCACTGGAACAAGTTGCCCAGGGAGGTGGTTGAGGCCCCTTCCCTGGAGATATTCAAGGTGAGGCTCGACGAGGCCCTGGGCAACCTGGTCTGGTTGGGGGTGTCCCTGCTGACTGCGGGGGGGTCAGACTAGATGGCCTTTGGAGGTCCCTTCCGGCCTGGGCAATTCTATGATTCTATGATTTTTTTTTATACCTCTTTAATAAAGAAAACCTAATTTTGGCATTTCTTTTCTATTCTTCTCTAAGTCTGTTGGCTTTGGGGGTTTTTTTTCCTTCCTCTCTGTTGTGTTGGTGATGGGGCAGCGTGGTGGGCTTAGCGTTGTGCTCCTGGGGGCAGCTCCCTGGTGGGTAAATCCAACTGGTTTGAGGACCCAGTGCCCTGCTGGGAGATGCTTGGGCATCATCTCCCCATGGCAACAGCGTCCTGCTGCAGGACTGCCTGCCTTACACCTGGCAGAGGGAAGGGCAGTTTGCATATTGGTGTAAACAGTGTAATTTCTCTCCAGGGCATGCACGGGCATGGTTTTACTGCACTAAATATAGCCCTAATTGGGTTGCTTTGGGATGGTATAGAGAGGGAGAGGGTGGGATGTTTGGGCAGTTTGTTCACCCTTAAAAAAAAAAAAAAAAAAGGCTTAAAAACAAATGCTTGTTTGTGATTGCTCCTTTTTCTATTTGTTGTGTGCTGTTGTGATCCAGGGGGGAGTGTTTTGCTGCTGCGTGCAGCTTGGCAGGTTTTGTGAATGAGGTGGTGTGTGTGCCTGCAGCCTCTGAACTAAAATCCACGTGTTGTCACCACGGGCGAGGACCTGTCTGTGCAGACACCAGCACTGCTGTCCCCACTGAGGGATTTTTATATTTATTGTATTATTTTTACTTTTTCCTCTCAGCCTTTCCACCCTGTGATTTTTTTTTTTTTTTTTTTTTTTTTGCTAGGTTGGTTAGCAGGGGTAAACACACAAAAGAGGCAGCTGATATGTCTGCTTATTACTTGAATCTCAAGTGTCTCACCATTTAGTCTTCTTTTTTTTTTTTTTTTTTTAAAACCCCCCTGACTGTGCCAGCAGGGCTTACAGCTCCTTTGTCACCTTTCAACCCCCCGGCAGCATTGTGTGCCCCTCTATGTCCATGCACAGGGACTTTCATGTGACAACCCCGTTGCCCAGCACTGTGGTGGCTGCCTTTAAGGCAAATATTTCACTGAATTTTAGAGTTGGAAGGGACCATAGAGATCATCTAGTCCACCTCCCCAGCTGAAGCAGGATTGCCTAGAGCTAGAGCATGTTACTCAGGAGCATCCAGGTGGGTCTTGAAAATCTCCAAGGAAGAGGACCCCATGACCTCCCTGGGCAGCCTGTTCCAGGGAACAGGGAATGGGCAGATTCAACCATTTGAGTATTGCAAAGCTTTTTATTGAAGGAAAACATGAAAGGTTGCAGGGTTTACTTACTTTCTTCATAAAATGCCTGATTTCACACCTCTGAAATATTTGCGTGGCACCACACAAGGTGTCTGTAGCACAAGGGCTTCGCGCTGGAAATCAAAGTCACGGTCTTGTTTGTTTTTCTTTTCTTTTTTTTTCTTACCTTTCGTTTTAGGGTTTCTTGGATAACCAGGCGGGAAACCCCCAGATTGTCATTCTGCGCCTCCTGCGTTACATCATCCGCCTCATCTGGAGGATGCAGTGAGCGCATCCTGACCTGCGGGGACTTGTTTACTTGTTGGGAAATCCCAGGGAGGACGGACGGACGGACAGACAGACGCAGGGCTCCCTGTGCTGCCCGACTCCTACCCTGCCTCATCCCAGGACCTGTGGCTGTCAGATGAGGGTGGACGTCCCACACCGCACCTGCTGGAAACCTCCGATGCAGGACTTTGTCAGAGAGTGGCGTTTACTGTGTTTCTTTCAACTCTTATTATTTTTTTTACTTTTCTGGTAGAGTCTCAGAGGAAAAAAAAAAATTCAATGGCAGTGGAATAATGTTTTTTTTTGTCATCGTTTCTGGAAACCCGTCGGCTCATCTGGGATAAACCCTGCAGCGGGGAAAAGGAAAACCTGAGCCAGCTGATGGGCAGAGCTGCCTTAGTTTGCCTCGCAGACCTTATTGCAGAGACTCGTGGAGCTCTCCCTGCTCCCTTTGCCTCCTGGGCATTTGCCCACAAAAAAAGAATGGCCGTGATGGAAGAAGGGCAGAGGGATTTAAATCAGCACTTCTTTTACCTGTAAATACCTAATGCTACCCCAAATCCACCTTCATTTGCATCATGCAAGTAGCCTATTTCCTGCTGACTGATTTATTTTTTTATATATATTTTTTTTCTACACTCTGGATTTCAAGACTTAGCTGCCAGACTCCCGGGGTCCAAAATATCACAACCAACCAACCAAACAAAAAAAAAAAAATCCACCAGGTTGCCTTTTTTTTAGAAATTCTTTCTATAAAACGTGTGAAAACGCTTTCATATTGTATTATATTATATATAATATATAATGTTGGTGACTGAGTAATTCAGCAATAAAACATTCTCGGAGGCAGGTAGGAACAGTTCCCAGCACACTGCAGCTTTGCACCTGGAGACAACGGCTCCTGCTGTGTAATTTCAGGAACTGGTTTAAGTCGTGGCTTCTTGTACCTTGCTGTTGAGGGTTTTTAAGGTGCTGGATGTTGTGTTTTTTTTTTTTTTCCTGGGATCCTCTCTGTGTTCGGCTAGGACAGCCTGGAGCAGGGGGATGAGCGGGACAGGACTGATGGCATGAAGACTCCAGATGCTGGCACGCAGGGATGCAGCTGGAAGAGGCACCGAAGGATGCCAGTCTGGTACGGATCCACCCAGGGATTTGCTGCGTGGGGCTGACTCCCCCCGACTGCCAAGCCTCCTCAATAACTGTCCCTGTTCCCCTGGGAAGATCTGGCCAGGTGCTCAGTGCTGTCCCAGGGCATCTCCCCTTCCACCTGGAGCCCTCGCAGCCTTGCTGGAGGAGCCCTGAAGGGCTTGTCAGAAGAAGCAGGTCTGTGCTCCACATTGTCTCCAGTTCATCTCACGGGTGGGCGGCTGCTGCACAGCGGGCGCTTTCGGGGGGGTGGCTGCTCTGGTCACCCCCATATCTATGCACAAGTGTACCCCTCTCTGCCTCTGGAGCTGCCCCTTTCCTCTGGCTGGTGCAGGTGGTCCTCAAACCCACTTCCAAAAGCCACGGTTTTATTTCTGGTTTCACCAGCACCATAGGAAAAAAAAAAAATATATATATATATCCAACCAACAAACCCAAGCCCATGATAGTGGTTTTTCCTGCAATATGCGTGCAGGGAGTAGCTGTTGAGTGCCATGTATGACGATTAGTGTTTTTAATGATGGATAAACTGTACAATCTGACCTCTACACACTGGCTGCCTGTGCCTGCTGGGTAGGCAGAGAGCCGTGGTGTCAGTGTGGGGCTGTGTGCCTCCGATTGCACTACTCTGAAGGATTACGGAGGGACTTTGGATTTTTATTTTAAATTTTTATTATCTTTTTTTTTTTTTTTTGGACCTGCAAGATGAGCATCGGTTGCAGGAGTTGGCCTCAGCTGCAGGAGGAGGGGATATTTTGGAAAGGGTGTATTTTGGAGAGGGTGCTACAGGAACCTTTGCACTGGTGGAGAGTGAGTGGCTAAAATACCTGGTGAGTTGCCAGGGGCAGGCTCCTGCTCCTCATCCCCTTGGTTTTGGCTCCCTGTAGCTGTGGGTTTTTTTGGTTGTGTTTTTTTTTTTTTCCTCTGGGGTTTATATAGAAAACCCCAGCAGGATGGAATTGCGTGGCTGTTGATAAAAGGAAAAAAATAATATTTGGCAGCAGAGGCAGAAACCAAATGAGCCTTTTTTTTTTTTCCCGGTTGTTTCATCTGTTGGTGGTGGATGAAATGGTGCTTCCAGGTCTTGCAGCCTTACAGCATCCCAGCACTGCGCTGCCCAGAATGTGTCCCTCGGAGTACACCAAAGAAATGCTGAGCACTTTACCCCATCCTCCCCACCAGGCCACCACAGCCAATGATGGAGACAACAATTGTATTAATTTTAAGGGAAAAAAAATATCTAAGTATTGGCACCCTCTGCCTGGGACTTCTCCACAGGAGATGTTCCTGGCCAAAAGGTAGGCATAGGAAAATTAGCCCTCAAAAAACAGGTTTTGTCCCCATAGAGTTGTGAAGTTTAGAGGGAATTAAAAAAAAAAAAAAAAGCAAGCCTCTTAACAGAAGAATGGTGTTTTTAAATAGGGATTATGCTCATTTTAGCCATGTTGGCTGACTGCTGTGGGTCATTTTAAGCATAACCTGTGGTCTCTGTTCTACCAAAAGAATGTGATGAAGAGTTTTCCTTGGTTGTGGGGAAACCAGATTTATTCTCGGGCGATCTCACATGATGTGTTAATGCTTCTCCTCTTTTCCATAACTGTAAATACCTGAATATTTATTAGAGTAGGGCACCATATTATTTTCATCATCTGAGCCAGGTATCTGTGTGCAATGTATTTCCTTTCCTTTTCTTTCATGTAAGTTTTGTACAGCTTATAAATAAGTAAAAAAACCCAAAAAATCACTTTTTTTTTCTAAACTTTTTTTTAGAGTTGAACTTGGTAAATACTGTAGATTCATTTTTTTCCCCCTGTGTACTTAATGCACTCTACTGTTCCATAATGCTGTAACTTGTAGAAATGTTGTATATTTATTTTCTGCTTATTTAAGTTCCTGAAAAGATTTCCCCCTCCCCGCCCTTCTCTCCTCCCTGCCCCTGCAATAAGTGATGGATCACCTTCTGAAGCACTGTCTTCTCCTGGCAGTGCAGCCAACATGGTTTGGAGAATGAGAGTTATTCTTTTTCCTCAAAGTGCCTAAGTCCCACTGTCCAGTAGTGATTTAGGCACATCAAAAGACTTCAGCATCAGTGAAATTCAGTGGGAATTTGGCTTCTACGTCCCCATGATTTTTGCCACCCTCCTTTTAAAGCCACGTTTTCCTCTCTCAGCCACTTTCCCCAGACCAGCCTCAACATCAGGTACCGCCCAGCAAACAGGGATGTGCTGATGAATCACTAACTCGTTTCACAGGACCCAGCATATGTAGCATTTTTACTGCAATTTCCCTGGCTTACTTGTGTTTTGCACTGATGAATTTTGGACAGGGTAATTGCCACTTTACTTGTGCAATACTGCTGTAAATAATTGCAGATCTTTTTTTTTTTTTTTTTTTTTTAGATGCAATCTTTTATGTTCTTAATATGAGTTTTATATGAATAAAAACTTTCAACTATTTGTTACGAGTACTGTTTTCTGTAGGGGCTCAAGCTTCACCTGAGGAAGGGGGGGTGGGGAGAGGATATTTGCTGCTTTATCACCAGTTCTTCCTGCTTATCCCCCATTCTCCCCTGGATTTAGGGTGCAGGTCTGTACCCGGCATTTCCCTGTGCTCCAGAGTTCCTGGGACTCTAAAATGTTCAATAAAGCTTTGTAAAGGTTTGTAAAAACGTTGCCTCGAGTGTTTCCAAGCCCAAAGGCAGCACCTCTGCCCCCCCCAGCTGGCAGTGTCTTGGTTGGTGGTTTGTGGGGGTGGTTTTTTTGTTTATTTTTTCCCCACATTCATGGGGCTGTGCAGACATGGGCTGCATCAATGGGGCTTCAACCCACCTGTGGGGCACCCTCCTGTGCCATCAGGGTGCTCCCTGTCCCCACTTGGTTTTCACAGGTATTGAAGCAAGTTTGGGGAAACGATGAGGGGGGGGTGTTTTATTACTTGTGTGTTGCTATTTTTTTTTACTTTAATATGTTATTATTTTGTATTTTATTACTTTAAAGTTGAATCAGTTGCCATCCTGCCTTCCTTCTGCCTTGGCACTCTCCCCCTGTTTCTGCACCCCTCTGGTGCTGCCTCCCCCACTTACTCCTCCTGCTTTTATTTTACTGCAGGTAATAGCAGATAACTGGTAACATCAGCCCTGGTTTGGAACGATATTCTGCTCCAATAGGGCTTTTGGCATAAAAGGAGCAGCTAAGAGGTGATGGGAGAGGTCCCTAAATCAAGCTGGGGGGGAGGTGGGGGCATGGCTTAGGTTGCTCCCCTCGGATCAGGGTGTGCGCGCTTCTTCTGGAAGATCCCAATAAATTGTTTTAAAAGCTAATAAGTAAAATAAGAGGATCGATATGGGTGTCATAGATGGAGGGAGAGCGTTATATGCCAAAAAAGGGGGGTGCAGGGGGAAGGTGGGACCTGCAGAATCACCCTGTGTTTCATGAGATGATCACACCTGAGTGCCTGCATCCTGGGGCTGATGCTGGTTTCCCCCCTTCTTGCCTGGCATCCCGTTTAATTCCCATTTCAAAGGCCTGCAGCAATGCTCCAGATACGAACCAAGCTGTGAAGTATGGTCGCAGGTCCAGTGTTTGATTTTTTTTATTTATTATATTTTCTTTTACTCAAAGGTGAGGAGCTGCCTGCCCATCCTCTGCACCAGACAGGGCTAGGGGGATATTTTTAGCTGCTTTCTTCTGAAATATCAGCTGGTGGCTGGGTTTGGGTTGCGTGACGCAACACGGTGGGACTGTGCGTCAGTGGGACTGGCTGAAAAGCAGGAAGAAATAAGGGAAAGAGCGGATGGAGAAGTCCCCAGGAAGCTGCAGCCCACGCTGGGTGCCACTGTGCTGATTGCTCCTTGCACCCACCACATGAAATGTATTTAAAAACAAACCCAAACTTAAAAAAAAAAAAAAAAAATCTGGATTTTTTTCTTTGTTTTGTTCTTGTGTGTGTTTCAAATTACAGAAGTTCCTGAAAGGGAAGTTTATTGGTTTCAGATGCTATTATGGGGGCTTCTTTAACTCAAAAAAAAAAAAGGCTCTATTGCCCAGCCAAGTCTCTGGCATCTGCCAGCCCTGCTCCACCCATGGCATTTGGGTCCTGCTGGCATTTGGGAGCCCACTGGCCCATGCAGGGAAGTCGTCACGTCTCATACTCTCCATTTATCTTTGCTGTGACTCATGTTGGAAGGAGCTCATCATCTGCATGAACTCAATGACCTGGGCGAGACAACAGGGAAGAGAAACACTGCCTCACTGGCAACATGCAGCCATGCAGAGTGCTGATGAGATCTCGCCTCTGGGCACCTGGCCATGTCTAGGTTGGCCATGGTCAAGTCAAAGGAGGTCATGGCCCAGGTTGGCCATGAGCAAAATGACAGGTGGTCATGGCCCAGCTTGGCAGCCATGGCCAAGAGCAAAGGTGATCATGGCTCAAGTTGGTCATGGCCTAGGTTGGCCATAGTGAGGTTCAGGTGGGCCATTGTCCAGATTGGCCATGGCCAAGTCCAAGGTGGTCATGGCTCAGGTCCACCAAAGATATAGCATCTGGGTCCTCCTCAAAAGATAGGCCCTTTCTTTCTGTGGTCTTAAATTTTTACTTCAGTAACTAATTAAAACCACATGTGATTTTGTTTTAAGGATGATAAACTTCCTTTATTCTTTGAAAAAGAAAAAAAGTCATAAATTTGCTCATGAAAAAGCTACCCAAAGGCCTCACTGACACAGAGCCCATGGCCAATGGAAGGAAGCCATTCTACGCTCATCCCCTCACTCATGACTGTCTTGTGCACACACTGTTGAGGACCCAATCCGGGATGTTCCCACATCCCTTAACACCCACGTGCCTCAGGAATGATGAGCAACCAGTCAACAATGAGCTCCGTGGTTGGTTGACAACGCCACACTGCTAGGTGCTCTCCCTCTCTATATATATTTATTTTTTTCTTCCAATGACTCGCATCTGACCTTTCAAACACCTGTTCAGCCTTAAACAGCTAAAAATACCCACCGAGCTTTGCATCTGATTTTCATACTGCAACAAAGCTCACTGTTTCCAGCGGGTTTTCTCATGTTTCTGGCGGGTTCCAGGATGGTTGACCTCTCCTCTGGTCAAACTCAGCATAGACAGGGATGAGAGATGGCTGGCTGCAGGCAGGGTTGCACAGTCTGCCATGGTGCATGGCCAGGGAGGTCCCTAGGAACAGAAAGGGGGCATTATAGATGCTATAATGGGGCTGGGCATATATTTATATGGTGCACAGCAAGCCCAAGGATGGTAGGACCAAGAGGACCTTCCCGCTGTCCTCTGGGAGGCCTCTGCAAGGTGCCTGCGAGCCACTACCGCTATCCACCATCCACTGCCCTTCCCACGCATCCCAAACCTATTCTGGGTCATTTCTGTGGAATTTTAAAATTAAGACCTACAGTGCTCAAGCTATCCTGGAACAGCAAGGCTCATGGGTTCTTCCTGCTGGGGACACCACTGTACCTACATGGGCTTGTCCTGTGGAGCCAAGAAGGCCTCAGATATCGCAGCAATGTCTTTGCATGGCTCATTGGGGCTGGGCTGAATGAGAGCAGGGACCCTAGTGGGGACACAGGGCCTTTTCTTCCCTGATTTGATGAATTTCTCTTTGCTGGCCATTTGACGGGCTCGTACATTAATTTTCCCGGAAGGGCGAGCGGGAAGCCTTCGCTTCCCAGCCCACTGCTAATTAAAACATGCTTCATCTCGGTGTGATTATGGACATCGTGCATCAAGGAAAAGATTTTTTTCTTTTTTTTTTACAAAGGCATAATTATCTTGGATATTAATTAGGGGAAATAAAGTTGGAAGATGGCATAATGGCCAATTCCATAAGTGAAGGGACGCACATGGCAGCAAACCCCGGCTTCCCTGAGCATCCTCTCCCCTGCGTGTGCTGGCACATGGCTCCGGCGCTAATTGGCTCTAATTGGCATCTCTGGAACGGCGCAGGCTGGAGGATGGCAGGCGAGGAAAGAAGTGAAGAGTTTAGGAGCAAGAGAGAAGGGAAAGGGCAATGAGAGCCGCAGCTCTGCCTTGCTGCATCCCGGCACCCGGGGATGGCTGCGCACGGCCCCATGGTAAAAAAATATAGGATTTTTCTGATTTTTTTTTTCTGAAACACACAATTAAACCCCCTGAGCATCGTGTGCTGTGGGCACAACATGCCCAGCACCCCTCTCTCCCAGGGGTGGCAGTGGCAGCAGAGCCCTCCTGTCAGCCAGGGAAGGGGGAACAGCCATGAGCACCTGACATTAACATTCAAATTACTTATTGGCAGAAATGAGTTTAAAAATAGGTTTTTTTATGATAAACAAACTAACCTCATACAGGAAGTGAGCTGCAAATACTAAAAACTAGTATGTTCTAAGAGAGCTGGTAGAACAGAGAGCTGCCCCACGGAACCAAAAAAAACAACAACAAAAGAAGCAGTCTGGGTTTTTTTAGCATTTTCTTGGTTTTCTTTTTTTTAAGTTTTCCCTCCTGACATAGGGAAAAGGGGAGGATCGAGGGGAGGAAGGGCAGGAGGATCCTCTGCTACTGGGAGAGTGAGACATTTCTCTCCTGGTGGCCCCTAAATTAAAGGTAAAGCCCGGCGATGCGCAACAAGATTCGCGATGTGAACCCCGGGTTTTAGCGTGCCTGGACTTCAAAAACGTTTGCTTCTGCTGCTGAAAAGGTTAAGCAGTTTTCCTACCGAAACCCCGAGTGTGGGCTGTGAAAGAACATGTTAATGAAGAAAATTTCCCCAGGGCTGCTCTTTTATTATCACCAAAGCCATCGAGTTTCAGTTTGAGTTATTTGTATTTATTTATAAAAACAAAGATTAAATAAGTAGAACAAAAACAAAAACCTCATCCTAATTTCTGAGCTAAACCTGATTTATTCAAACAAAGAATTCCCCCCCCGGCAGGTAGCTGCAGGCTGTTTTCCCCTTTGCTTTGAGGGAAAAAAACCCACCGATCTGCTGCTGTACTGCATGTGAAATATATTTAAGGCTAAAAAAAACTACCAAACCATTCAATTGCTCTCGTTGGCTGCAAAAAATGAAGATTTACGAGTCATAGGGCTTGGGGGGGTGGTGCAGGCACCCGGGGCAGGTCCGGGCAGGGGCTGCCTGGACCCAGGAGGTGGTGGCAGCTCTGCCCAGCTTGGCCACCGCCTCCGGCCACCCTTTGGGGAGGGAGCACCTGATTTAAGAGAGGCAAAAAAAAAGGCATTTCTCTTTTCATGTGTTTTCACTTCCATCACAGGAGGACTGCTTAAAAGACGCACCAAAAATCCCTTCAGTGGTCTTGTAGCCTTTAACGTGTTGTTTTTCTACATATTTTATGTTGTTGGCTTTTGTTATCAGTCTCATCTGCAATTTGTGGCCAATTCTGTCATGCTTTAGGCAGACATCTTGTTCCCAAAACTGTTTGCAACCTTTCAGCGCTGGTACAGCCTCGAATACAGGCAGAGAAAAGCCACAGCACAACGAGAAAAAGGGCAGATTTAACCCCAAAATGATCGTTTGGCCAAATATTTGTTCCGAAGGCAGGGACGAGCCCCAGGGCACTGATGGGTAGCGCCAAACCAGCCCCAGCCCACCCCTCTGCCCTGCCCGAGTATCCTCACTTTAATTTGAATTATTTGCATTTCCCCATCCCAGGAGAAGCCAAACCCATTCCTATGTGACCCGTTGGATTTTTTCCCCATCCCGAACAGCATTTTCCACCCTATTTTCCCAGCCATCGGCACAAAGCTATCCCGGCTGAGCCCTCCTTTTCTCAGCATGGTGTGGATTAAATCAGTTGAACTGTTATTCACCACCGAAAACGAACACAGCCAATCTAGCACCTATTTGATATTAATAGCGAAACCAAAAAAGCAAATTAATACCACAGGATGAAGGCATTTTAAAAAAATAAAATGAAAGTCATTCAAGTGCCCGACGGACTCGGAGAGCAAAGCTGGAGTGTGGGAGCCGCTTTCGGCCACAGCCAGCCCACGCGGGCATGGGGGGGCTAAAATTTGGCATTTTTTTGGGGGTGGTTAAACTGAAAGGAAAGGCTGACAGCCGTGAGCCAACCCAACCCCGTTTGGCAGGGTTTCTGACCGGGGCAGCGCAATTGCTCTCCCGGCAGCCTGGAGAAGGGAAGTGAGGCGCTGCATCCCTGGTGAACCCCTGCCTTTGAAATAACCAATTTTGGGGTTTTTCAAAGAATTAGCACACCCGGCAGGGCAGCCCGGCTGGGGGAGGAATGAGACATTGTGAAACCCAGCTCCTTTTCCTGAGGCTGCCGCTGCCGTCAGTGCCGGAGCCCAAGCCCTGCCCGAAAAAAAGCTTAAACGGTTTCCCAAAAGAGAGGCGCCGAAGGGGAGCTCACCCCTCGCCGGGAGCTGGCCACAATTTTGGCCTCCCCAAAGCGAGGCACGTTTGCCTGCTGCCCCCCCAGGAAGGGCTGCCTTCCTCCCCTGGACCACCGCAGCCCCGAGCCCCCGGTTCCCCCAGGATGCTTGGGAAGGGGGGTCCTCTTGCTCTACTCCCCCTTCTCCCAATCTGCCCCCTTTTTGTTCCCCCAGGATGCTTGGGAAGGGGGGTCCTCTTGCTCTACTCCCCCTTGTCCCAATCTGCCCCCTTTTTACACCAGACACAAATACATCGTATTTTTTTCAGCCAGAATATATGTATATATATATTTTAAAGTCAGTCTCTCAGGGCTCTCCCAATGCTCTCTCCACTTCCTGTGACAAAACAAAACACGCTTTGTTTGAAACTTATTCTTCCTCTATTAAGCGCCAAGAAATAATGACCAAAAACACCCCAAAAAACCCATGCTGCACCCCAGTAATCCTCTGCAGCCACTGCTCCCTTCCCACACCTTCACCCTCCAGGCAGAGGACGGACCCGGGCATGTCAGGCTGAAATAGCATCAGCCAGGCAAAGAATCACTTATCAAGAGATTTAATTCAAAATCTCGCCCGTGGAGGGCTGGATCTCAAGCTGAAGGTGAATTTCCACTTCACTATTTTTGTCCCGCTGCTGTTCAAGTCAAATGCTCCCCCTCTCCACGTCATCGTTTTAAAACCGGAGTCAAAAAGCAGCTAAAATAGGTAGGGTTTGATAAATTCGTATTTTGACTCATCCATTTTTCTGCGGTGTGATTAAACACCCCACCGGCTGCAGTAATATTTGCCGCTCAGCAAAGGGGAGCATAAACCCCACTTGTAAGATTGAGAAAAAAAAAAAATCATTTTAGTTTGACTCATGTGGAAAGAGTGAAACACAGAGAGTGCCCTGAAATCGGGCTACACAGGCTTTTACGAGACCATTTACCACCATGGGAAGAAAACAGAATATTGGACAATCGCAGCCACTAATTTAACAGCGTTTTGAGGCAGCCGTGGGCTGCGGGCTCCCCCTCTGCAAACGCCCAGGTTTTTGCTGCTGTTTGAGCATCCTTTGGGCAGCCAGACAAAAGAAGACGGGGAAAAATGAATTTGTGGCTGAGCTGATTTTGCTCCATTGTAACTTTTCAAATGATGCTCGGTCTCTTTGTGGGGGGGATCAACTCCTACCTGGGTGAGAGATGGGTTTTACCCCAAGCCAGTAAAATGGTAACAGCTGGCTTGAAAATGAAACCCACCTGGAAAATCATGTGGGGACTTTCGGGCAGGTTTGGCAATTTGCCTCTCTGAGAATTAATCTGCAAAAAAAATATGAATAAATGAGCCCAGGGAGGAATTTTGGGGGCTGGTCACCGCAGTCTGCTGGGTGAAACTTAAGCCTGAAGAGTAGAAAATTGGGAGTAGAACATTTTTTTGTGCCCTGGCCCCCAGGAAGGAGGGCTCCCAAGGGAAATCCCATCCCTGCTCCAGCAGGATGGCTGGGAGGGAGCTTTTGTGCTGCATCCAGCCTCCACGCTCCCAGCATCCCTGGCTCATCGCCTGGCTGATTCTCATCGCTGCCTGAGCCGGGCGATGCCAATCTTTTCATCAAAGCTCACTGAAAACAAAACTGAGAAACAGCTTGTGGTTTGACAAGAATGTATTTACATAAAAATATATATTTTAAAAAAAAACATTTGGGGATGGTGAGAGAAGGTGCTCGTGGTGTTTGTGAGGTCCCTGACATTTAAGTGAGGCTCGCCGAGCGTGGCAGCCTCACGTGTTACCCATGCTGAGCC